GAAAGATAGTGATCTGCAAAAGAGTGTGTTAGGGCTCCATTTATTACTTAGGTTCAGTTTTCAGCGCCATTTCTGAACAATCCTGTTACAACTTGACACCGATGAATAATGGGCAAAGAACTTATTCACATTCATGACAACATCGGAGCATAAAGCATTCCGTACCCCTTATTTCTCACCAAGCCATCGGTAACTTGACCGCGTATGAAGGATTTAATCTGAGGGCGTTAATCAATCCCGTCTGAGGGATGGACCCACGCATTCGACTTCCATTCAGAATCGTACTGGCCTATACAATGACTTGCAGTGCCCAGCCGATGTACAAGACAGTGCTTGAGCTGTCTGACGAATCTGGTAAAAATCAATCGACCCGGAGGGATGGAAGGTTGTTTGGTCTAGGCGGATATCGATCCGGGATTCAAACCCGTGACCGTGGGCGTGTGAAGTGTGCCACTTGCCGCTACACCACTTCCGCCCTTGACCGTGCATATGGTAAGTTGATAATTGAGAAATGCAAGGCTGGAGCATCACATACAACCTAATGATAAGGTTCTGCCTGTGCTGACATTTGAGAAACTACCCTGCAACTTATCCGACTATAAAAATTTGATAAGAAGTTGATATAGTTCACCGCCTGATAAACCAAGAGAAGCGTACAAATTGTCCAATGCATCTGGAGAGCCGCAGAGTGTTACTGTATAGATCACGCTACAAAACTTATGGACTGCAACCTGAGAAAGGAGAGGGTAAAGCAATATAGTAAAATTAAAAGATTCAAGGCTCGGCATCAGTGAAGCCCGTGAGTTCGCACTATGCAATAAGTACAACTTCCTTGAAAACGAGGAGCAAGCAATTGGCATGTAGCACATATGGCACATTGTCGTCTTATAATGTTCACGGGTGTCATACTACCCTCTGATCATGTAAACCCTATTCTTCGAAATTTGGTGAGGTGAATAATCCAGGAGTAAAAACGCAACTCGATCTCAGGGAATGTGCTATGACTTGATTTGCACTAACCTGGAAGAATAAATCAGAAGGAAGAGAAGACAGTAGACAAAATTCAGGGTCGTCAAAAGTTCACAGTTACTTACCATGTCTCACTTTCATCCATAGAACCGAGATCGGGAGAGTCGGAAAGAGCGGGATGAGACCGTTGAACATTTCCTGAATGAACTTTCATAATACTGGAAGCGAAACAGATCATAATTCATAGAGCTGCATTGAGATGGCAATATAGTGCCCTAATTAATGAGCGGAATGGTAGCGCACTAGCAGTTCAGAGAAATGGTGAAGAATTGCAGAAGAAACCCAAATATCTCAAGCTAGGCTGAACAGCTGAAACTTTCAGCAGGGATTTGAACATTCTTGAGGAAGTTACAGCAAAATCCCGACGAGTTGGAGAAGCAAAAGGTAGTTTTTGACGGAGCATGTAGCCAAAATATGTCTTCAGCTGAATTATACCAATTGGTTTTCTTCTTTTTCTCAAATTTGTACAATGGAAAAGAAAAAGAAAAGAATAATAATTAGTACTAAGAATTTGCAAAGGGTTCGACAACTCGATGTTTCTCATTCGAACAACTACTTCTCAACCAAGGATTGACTAATGTTTATCAATTCGACACCAAAAGAGATTGTAGTATATGTATAAGGATCAAACGCTTGACAGTCAACGTCTGAAAGTTGATTTTGCAATCCCTCTCCGTTTTAGAGCTCTGACAACATGAGAAAACGAAGAGCAATAAATTAAAAATTTGATGGCAGTTGCGAACGGCAGACAATTTCCAATATCGACTGAAAATTTCAAGTATGAGAAATACCGCGAGAAAACTACAGCGGCGCAGGAAAGAAAAAANCTTTGCTCAAATAATGATGAAATTATGACTTCATGTGTCAGCATTTCATTTACTCAAGTTTGTTGAATAAAAACTAAGAATAAATCCTCAGATATATTGCTTTATGGCCGTCGAAAATTAAGTTAGAACTCTGTCAGTGTTTGACAAATTCAGCGAAAAAAAATTTACTGTTGCAACGTCTGTGGGACCTTGTGCAGAGCTAAGCAACCTTACACGAGACCGAAAGCCCCAATTTCATGCTTATAGGGTAGTTCGATACTGATCAGCCTCGAAATAAATACGAATGTAAATCCTCTCCAAAATTATTTTGAGTAGATGTTGAATTGATTGAAAAGAATGAAAAATTACTGTGATAACTGACGCTCATTCAAAACCAACATATGGCACAATGTACGATGTGTTTTTGTCTAAATTTCTTTACCAGGGCCCGAATGATCACTAATATCAGGGAGAGATTCTCCCCCTGATTTTACGGTTTTAGGTGATTACGTTCTATATAGCTTAGGGTCTGAAATAGAAAACAAAAATACCATTTGGTTTCTCCTCTTTTTTCGATCCAATTTTATCTCGTGAGCTTGCTGGCTTTCCCTTGTTACCATAGTCCACTTCTATTTCGATTTTCTTCCAATTGTTTCTACCTTTTGAATGTTTCTGTCCATTCCCAACACTCTCTTGATCCTCCTGAAAACAGAAAACTTCAAGATGACTATTTATGTGAACAAGTACTACATTGTTTACCCCAAATCGGATAATACTGCTGGAAAAATGAAAGGTTCAGTATTTGGAATTAGCCTGAACGAAATGAAAAGGTTAGCATAACAAAAAAGTACAGGTATTTGAAGTGGGCAAAATGATCTATTATCGCATAATGGAAAAATTCATAATATAGATTCGCAAGCAATATCTACACCCGAGAACCTGTGCGGTTCCATAAGGTTGTTAGAATCGATCAACGTCTTGAGCTTTCCATGCACTACCGATAATTCTGGAGCAACCAATACTCACAAATTTATAAGGGTAGCCTTCATTTACCAATGGGGAACAACCTTGCACTGTGACTAACAGCTAACACTTATTTTCAACCCTCCTGTTCTCTCTTTCCATGAAGACTGATGCTGGTCGCCACTTTCCCTCTCATAGTACATATGTATATTTCATATGACGTAGCATTGAATGGCGGCGGGTCATGGTTTGGCGTACTTTGAACCAACGAAACCTTGTCTTGCCAATGCAGAAAATGCAAAGGGAAATGATTCGGCTGGCAGCTAAATGACTGCGTTGTTCCCCAGTACTTTGAACATTTAGCCTGCAGGATCGTATGCTGAAGTGATACATATTTATGGAATAGCCATCTGAGTACTTTATGGTCAATATGTAACTGAAAAAATATTCANTTTTTTTTGCAAAGAAAAGGAAATTAGACTTCCCAAAGATATACGCAACTACCAATGCCAGTCTAATAAAATTGTAAGTATCGTTCTGCATGGCAATAAAAATTACTGAACTAGTACAGCTAAAAATTTGCTTTTCCCCATAATTAAACAATGATGCCACAAGTTCCCCTTTTCAGAAGCGTTACGAGTAATGATAAAGTAACTGTTTTTTCTCGATCTTATTCACAAAGTTGTTACACATTACATCGACAGAAGGTGAGCACAACATTCGGTTTTACTTAAAGATCGATAGAACTGAACGAATATAATCGAAGTTCATTAAAAACTCATGCACGCTCCTGGAAACAATTAAACCTGCAAGCTATTTTTTCAGCTGCTGTCGTCAAAGGATGGCGGTAAAAAATCACACAAAAAGTAATGTACTGAATGTGCACCACAAAGCTCGAAGAGCGGGGAAAAACGAGCTCATTTCGACAAAAAAACAAGGAACCTGAAGGAAGGGAGCTATTGCTGTGATCTAAACTTGCTCGAATATTCTGAATAAAAAGCTGAAGCGCTTTTAAAAGGTTTTTCCTCAGAAACCAATCAACAATGCGATCGGAACGGCTTTTTTTTCGCAACAGGTGAGAAAGAAATCTATTTTGAAAGAATTGAGAGGGCAGTCGCTCCGAAAAGGTATTTCTCCTGTATGCGATGATATTATTATAGTTTAGCGCACCCAGGATGGGTAGATCCTGAGGGGACGCAAATCAGCAAAGATGTGAAGCTCAAGCCGCAAGTATGTTTACCGCACTGGTTACTACTTTCCGAACAGCTGCAAAATTACTCTTGGAGAGATATCGCAAGGACGCTGAAATACGGGCAAAACGTTCAGCAAAACATAACCGAACGGGGCTCAAACCCGAATCAATGTTTTTCGGACACATTGCTTGTGCACTGCACCACCATGACCTTACATGCTTTCCGCAACCTTTTGACGGCATGCTATCATTAGCACTAGCAATTAGGTATCTCTTCATCACGCGACATAGATTACCAGACATTTTGGGATAATTAGAGAAAGTACATACTAAGCATCACTACGCTCAACCTATAATTAGATAATAACTATAACCATCTACTTACAATAACCGCTAAGAAAAAAAAAAGCTACACCACTAATCTCTTGTGAAGCAACGTTGTTAGTCAAATAAGTCGGCAATCATTGAATAGGAATTCAAATGGAAAACAAGGCCGTGCAGATTTCAAAGAAGAAGACATCTCACCTTAACTGACTCTGCAGTAGGCGAATGTTGCCGAGAATCGGTTCCATTCGCTAAAATCTCTTCCTGCTTTGCAGCATCCAAAGTAGGCCACTCCGGATCAATTGTTTTGGACTTGGCTACATCTGTTGCCGCTACTGTAGCTGGATTATTAGAAATAGACAAATCCTTACTCTGAAAAGTGTGACACATGAGAATCGATGGAATAAAAATGAAAGACTGATCACAAGAACCACTTCACCTCCTCTTCCACTGGTTTATTCTCTTCAGCACTAGTTATGCAACCAGATTCTGAACCATGAGCGGAATCGCATGACCCTGTAATTATAGAACTGAACAGAAAGAAATAAACTAAAAATGACTTTTAGATCATACCTTTATTTCTGAACCATGCATTTACAGCGGGTAGAGGAGCTGGCTCTAGTACAACAGGTTCCTGAGGGGCCGCAAGTTCCTCCATAGCAGGAGCTTTTTCTTCCTTAACAGGTTCTGGCTTAATTCCACGCTTTTCTTGACGATCTCTGTATTTAGGAGGGCGACGCCTATTTCCAAAATTTCTGTCATGCTTCTCATTTCGATCTGTGCGATCCTGGCGTTCACCCTTTTCATGTCTCTTGTCGCTTTTGTGGTCCGTTTTCTGAGTAGAACGAGGCGGCGAAGCTGTCCTGCCTGGTTGATTCTCAGTAACTGATTCTCCGGTTTGGCCAGATACCACTTTAGCAAACGAGAGCATGGGTTGCCTCTCGGCCATACCTCCCCTTCAATCCAGGTTGGTCACCTCCAGCGATCGTCCAAAACCTCAAAAACTTCCTAGTCATTTACAAGAAAAGGAAGATGTACACCACTACTCAAATGCACGCAAATCATAACAAATCATCGTAATATACGTATATTCTTACAAACCATTTCACTAACAAACAGATTATACAACTGAAAGAATTATTAAAAAGGGCGGGGCATGAAGAGAAAGGTGACATCGGTTTACTGCGTGAAACTCCTGCGACAACAGCTTGGAACCAGCACAGCCGCACATGTCTTATGGGCTGCTACGCAGTACGGCTGGCGTATTGTTTGCATATCGCGTCGTACGCCTTGGAGGACGATTGGCGCAAAGGCTGTTCCGCTCGATGCCTGCCAGCTTTTTTGTTCGAATGTCGATTGAACCACGTTCGCTCGTCGCCGGCTATGACTTTCGGGGGACCTTAGGTGGGGACAAAATCACGGAAGCACCTCTTAAACTGCTCTGAAGTGACAGATAAGTTCAAAAAAAGTCTTGGTCATTTTCTGTGTCAAAAACTGCCTTAAAAAGTGGAATAGTCAGTTTTCCTTGTTGACGTGAGGTTATGCCATAAATCCTGTCGGAGAGTCTTCTAGCAGGGAGGTCGCATGGGCATACTCAGAGAAAAGCCAAGTGACACANGGCATTATCTCGTTTGGAAAGTTTTGGTAATGTTTTTAAGAGTCAGAGGTGAACATGTGCCATCATCAGGCATGCTAGAAGCGAAGACGTCACTGAAAGGGGAAACGGTGGAAGTCGTGGGAGAGGAAATGGAAGAAATGACACGAAGAGTAGGTTCTTGACGTTTTGCTTCACGAGCAGGCTCTTCTTCCTATCAGTAGCCACATTTGCTGACAGCGTTTTGATATGAATCATATCATCAACTTAGTCATCAATGACGGAGTTCCATTCGTCCTTCACTTGGTAATCGTTGTAAGGCCTTTGCCCTGGAGCTATTTTGAAGAAGACGCCTCTAGAACAAAGGCCTCACAAGGAGTAGCAGAAGCCGTCTCTCTCTCGAGAGGAACTTGTGATATTGCTTCCTACTTGATTTTTTTCCCAATATGCTACAGTAGTATGGTTCCGGAGTACTGTAGTTGGGTGTAATCCTTTATTCGGTATGTGCAATGTCCGCTAATTAGCTCACTTTCAGTTTGTTGAATTCAAAACATCTATGCTGCCGAACGGTTTCCAGTCGAATGTTGGATTAACTAACCTAATAAAGAGTAGCATTTTTGAGCAGAACTTATGAACTGTAGAATTTGAGCCAAGTTCTTGTTGTCGAATCACCTATCACCTGTCTTCCTATTGACTATCGATTTCCTCGAGCAGGCGCCAGTAAGCTCTTCACTCGTAACTGACGCGAACGGAATGGTCCAGTGAATTGTCCTCACTTCAGAGACTCGAGGCGCAGCGTTCGTTTCGTTCAGAGTTTTCGTGAAGAAGTTTGACCATCGCGCGGTGGGTCAGGCATTCCTGGTGTTCGTTTTGAGTTCCGAGAGATCCAGTGGCTGCTTTCAGACTACGACGATTCCATCTGCGTGCGTGCTTGCGCACCTACAATCGCAGGTAGATTCGTGCGTGGGAGCAGCGAGCGCGAAGCGACGGCGGCGCTAGCCGCCTGTTGACAGCATCGGCACGTGATTCATCGACGTCTAATGTTGTCAACACCTGTCTAGCGCCGCGTCGCGTAGCCGCTCGCTTGCTCGCACGCACGATTCTACCTGCGTACAGGCACGCACGCAGGTAGAATAGCGAAGCCTGAAAGCGGCCAGTTGGTAACCGCTCTGGTTTCACGTGCTTTTCTCGTTCTCCAGTACGAAAGCCTAGTTACGAAAAATATATTGGATACCCTTGTTCCAGTGTGAACTGCTTATTTTTATCCAGCGATTTCCACCTTAGAAGGGAAAAGTGCTCATAGTTATTACCATGATTAGGTCTGCTTTATATCAACAATTCATGGTTGCAATCATGAATTTCTAGCATAAAGTAAACCTGATCATAGTAATCACGGTTTCCGTGCATACATCATGACGATAATCGCACCAAAACCTCGCAGCAGCTTAAAATTCTCTAGTTTTCTGATTCACCTAGAGATGTCTACCAAGTAAGGTTTACGTTGGGTATGGTTAGGAATGGTGTTAGGGTTACAGGGTTGAACATATCAGTTATTTAGCATGCCTTTATTGAAAATGACTTTGCGACCAAGTGCAGCAGTCCTTCACAGTTGTTGTTATGTGTCACGTTCGTTTTCATGCTGAACGACATCAGTGTCTTTCCTATTCCTTGAAATCTGATCACCACTAGCTTTAATCTACATCTTCTATTGATTCGCATGACCAAGCTTACTGTATAGAACTTTGTGTTTTCATCGCAACTTTACCATAGTATCTGCTGTATTTTCAGACTGCATGAAACGTATTTGGAACAGGAACTGGGTATCCTTTGCTCGACGTTATCGGTTCAAATCTAATCATGAGAACAAATGGGCGCGCTGGCGATACGCTTCTGTAGCGCTAGCTGGAGCAGGAGCGTTTGTGGTTCATGAGGGGTTTTCAAGAAATACCAGTTTGGATATACTAGGTAAGTCTAAATTACTTTGATTTACCCTATTTTTGATTGCACATTGCTTTTTCTTCTTTGATTCCCTTTCGGTTTTGAAGAGGCATTCTGATGTGCATCAGATTAAATGCTTCAGCATAAGGTTGTGGCTACTATCATTGCAAATACTAATCCACTACGAAGGAAGCTGGACATGTTTAATTTCTGCGTCTAAACTGTGCGCGGCACTATCAATGCTGATGTTGAGAATCAAGTTGAAAGAAATGCGAAACAGGCAAGAGGACTGGGGCCTCAAAGTGAGAAAAATAAAGAGGCATATAATTGAAGGCAAATAAAACGATTGGCGTCTCTGAAGAGATTCTAAGAAGAAGGTACGATACATGTAAGACAATGGTGCATTTCAGTAGCCCAGCCATTTCAGGGAAAGTAATAATATGATCAAGAGTTATTTTTTCTTTGAAAGCTTATCGGACCGAACTTGAGCCAAGAAAATAGTTCATCAGTAGTCTCGGTAGAGGAAATAGAGACGTCAGGTAGACGAGTTAGTTGAAATCATGACGGTGATGCTAACTAGCTATTATGGATACAATGCTTATTCCAAGTATGTAGACACACCCCAAGTGTTCCCATGAAGAAAACTTCAAATTTCTGGGTGTAGCATCTCCCCCGATCAAAAATTCGGATGCGAATATCTAGGATTACTTAGGCTCTCAGGTATTTTTTCCCTGTTTATGTTTTTTCAACTGTTTGAAAAAATTTTATACCAAAAGTGTGTGGAAATACATAATACAAAAGACAGAACTATTGGAATCCAGTCGTAAAAGATCGTGGGTAAAATCACTTTTTCTTCATTACTTCTCTATCAACTGCCTAGCGACGGAGATGGCGTCCCGTAGACCTTTCATGAGTCTGAACTGTGCTCGGGAGATCAGGACAAGATCCTTCAATCTTGAGTCGATTAGTCTCTCGTACAATATTATGACATGCAGCGCTGTCAAGCTGATTCCAAGATGGTTGTAACAAATTATTGCGTCCTTTTCCTGCGTAATGCTAGGACCGATAGTACTGCTTTTACACGCCTCTGAGACTCTTCTCTTAGCACAAACATTGTTTGGAAACCGTGTGAATCGCCCAATCATGTGCTCTCTGAGCGCTTTCCATGTCTCTGTTGATCCTATCTGTAGGCCCTTTTGCGGGCAAATTCTTCGTTTAGTAGCTTGTCGAAGTTCTCTCTCCACTTCGTTGACCTTAACTGGCTTCTTTAGGATAACAACCTCGCTGTCCTTTACGGCCCTCACTACTCCAACTCTATCATTGTCGGAAGCTCAATGGCGGGCTTCCGACAATGATAGATGAACTTGTCTTCTTTTCGAGCCTGTCGTACTTGAAGTCTACTTCCATGTTCTTTGCCTCGGTACGAACGAAGAACTTTAATTCAAATGGATTTGCTCAGCAAAACACAGCTAACCAGTCCGTTAGAAAACCCCTAGAGATGGATCTTAAGGTGTTCACGTGCTTTTGCTACCCATTATATTACGTTCGTACGGTAGATGAGTGACTTCTATCTCCTTTGCTGCTTGCCTGCTCTGTACGTATCTTTTTATTCTGTTTTAGGTATAGAGATTGGTTCAGCCAGTTCAGAGGTCTCACGTTTCTTTGCTGGAACGCGACTAACAGAGCACTAAAAGTATGTCTCGTTCGTTGTCTTGCTGCAAGATCCATTCGGCTGACGTTTTNTTTTCTTCCACCAATGATAAGATGGTTTCAATAGCCATGTTTCTGTAGCACTGAACAGTCCCTCGGCCTTCGATTCTGAAAACAGGAGCCAGCTCCATAAACGCCAATGTGCCGGACACCATTACCGATCCTCCGTCGTGCTTGGCAGAGGGTTTAGTTCTCCCTGATCGCATTTTTGACTGGAATGACTTACATACTCGATGCAATCATACATAACCAAAGCGGTTGAACTTGCTTCTGTCGGAAAAAGCACCTTTCTGCGGTCGCATAATGACCTCTGCGGGTGACGATCAACGAACTCTTCTCTTAATTTCCCATTGTTGCAGCTAAGTATTGCCGTTTACAACAACTTTGTATTGCAGCAAGGGATGAAAATGCCCGTCATCAAGTTCATACGGATCACAAATTAACTAAACGTGAGCTACGGTTTCTACAATTCGCTTCTATCGAGTACGATGATGTTATCTACATGAGTCCTATGGATTTCATCGACTCCCTAACACTGGATGCCCCACGAGGTTAGTTGCCGTTTCAAGTTTCTGTCGTAGTATTTTCCAAACATCACTTGCTTTTGTTTATCCCGGGGCATATATTGTAATGTGTGTAAGATAGCACATGATATTATAAGAATGCCTTGTAAGTTTCCCTGTTCTTACTTTTGTTTTTTTTCATCAGCTCTCAGGCTATAAAAATTTTACCCTCTATGCTATAGTTACCAAAATAGCTAGTAAGCCATCGTAACTCTTGTTTTCAACCAAGTTTTCTGTTGAATTGGTAGAATAGGGTTAATGCCCGCCCGGCACGTATTTTGCCTTGTTGGTTTCTTCCATTTTTTTCTCACCCAAAGCTTTCATCGGATCAAATTATCAATTTATGTAGAAGCTACCGTCATTTGTCAAGATGCCTCGCCCACTGCAGTCGCCCAACAGTAAATTCATCAGTAAGCATTCAGAGCGTGTGTACCGAAGAGTGATAAAGGAGAAGGAATTGAAGAAGATGCTGAAGAACACTCCAGCTTTTCGATCAGGAAGCAAGGAATTATTTCGCTCACTCGATCAAAATGGCATCATTTCTTACTCGGAATACATATTCCTCCTGACTTTGATTACAAGTAGGTTTCATCTTAACAACATTCCGCAACAATGAGCATCATTGCGACGATTCGATAGACTACATCACATAAATACTTCACATCAAACGCAACGTCATGAACTGCGTATTTCGCCTTTTAATGGATAGAGCACATATCTGCTCAAATCTAATTTTATACCAGGCAGTAACTTTGCAGTCGTTGATAACTTTCGACCATCCGTTGTGTAAACTAACACACTCTCCTTTTCCTCCAGCTGTAATCCTTCCGTACTAAATTTTCCCCGCCCTTCGAAGCTATTTTCGGCATATAAGTCGTTTCTAAGAAACAAAAGATGTCAAAACAGCTTAGTAGATTTTGGTTTTTAATAATTCTTCAACTTTACTTGCGAGTGGATTTCGTTCGTTTGAGACAAATATGGTCAAAAGGATTCACGGGTATCTCGAAATTATGGGTGTTTGTTCAATGCAATATGTTTTGAGCTTCTTACTGGTAAGCTAAGGATGACTATCGAATCTTTACACCTCTGCTCACATTATGTAGCATACTAGGCTACGATCGTGTATAGCCGGATACAAGCTCGAGGTCTCTTCATGAATTCCTTGGATTTGTATGAGGTATCCTTCCTCCATTTCTTCGCTCGTCAGGCTGACGAGAGCTAAGCTGTACCCACCCGACAGTCGGGTGGACTTGGCTCTCGTCAGCACCACTTCTGGACGAACTTGGCTTTGTGAGCTGAATCGCTGACTTGCTGTAGGCAACACGGACTGTTCAGAAGAAGGAATTGGGTCACGGCTTCAATACGTCTATCAGCATATTATTTAGGTACATGTTTACGTCAATTTTCCTGGTCACAACGGTGGAAACCAACAGCGCCTTACTGTTAGCCGTTTCTCCCAAAACCTTCACCGAAGCCGGTTTTGGTTCTACCGATTTTCCGCGAGAAATGACTCTGTAAGGGATTGCTAGCCAGACGATCGTTCTGCTGGTCGAGGAATGGCTCTGTCGTGATAATTTCTCCGTTAGGTAGAAAGACGGAGGGATGCATGTCCCCTTGAATCGAGTTTAGCAACCTGCATTTTTATTCCCACGCTGTTTATCGTTGTCAGAAATCAAGTGGCATTTCTGCATACGATAAGTTCCTGCTTCTTCTTGACAGTACACCTCATCGACGACTCCGGTAGGTCCAGCTACCTTTCCATCCTCCCGATGGTTTGTCGAAAATTACGATCCACCCGCGAACGGACTATAATAGTCCCATTCTGAGAACTTTGCCTTTCAACCCCACCCCTTCCTAAACTGTGAAAGTGATCCTGTTTCGTAGTATAGTTTATAGCCTGTACGGTCCCTGACGGAATCACGGGGAGCTTCCACTTGAAGCCATTCGTTGCTGCTTCCGCGCCGTGCATGCGAATAATCGCAGGCGGTCACACAGGATGAGCTTTCAAAGCAAGACTGGAATACTCCGCTTGCAGTGCACAGACTCAACTGAAAATACACTTCGGAAGTGGGAGTGAAAACTTGCAATACTTGAAAAGAAAACTGAATCTGGCCTCTTTTCGTTCCATACTATCGCAATCAGTTAAGAATGAACCAAGCAGCCCGACTGATCCTACCTTAGATATCCTCTATTCCGTGTGGCCGCCGTCAGATAGCAGGTCCAAACGGTAAAACTACCAGGTCATATTTACTAGCAGATCTTTTCGCTATGATCAAAGTATAGAGATATGAATTTCTCGGGTGCGCTTCGTTGCGCGTGTCCATCGAAACTAGGTCACGCCGCAGCCGCAGCACGCGGCGAGTCGGCCTGCGATATTTGACAAATGTCGCAATTGTCGCTAGGGCATACGCTCTGCGTTTGGTCCACGGCAGTCAGTTCAACAAGAAGATAACACAGACAAATGCAAATCATTTGCTCCAATGACACCTGGTGGTACTGTAATGTCATCTCAAGACCTCAGTGTGAAGCGCCGCGCGCGAAGTGGGCGGGGTGACCTACTTTCGACGGACACGCGCAACGGACGTTCTCCGAATTTCTCAGAGGCAGGTACTTAGGATGGCTTCTTGCTTGGCTTCCTTGGTCCTCGGTCCTCCTTCCCTTCACAGGTCTATTGCAAGGCTGCCTCCCAGACTGATTATGAGAGCAGCTTTGCAATAGTATTACTTTCCGGCTCGATGAGGAAGCGCTCCTCTGACCTTGTTATGAACAACCTAATCGCTTGCCTTTGTTTACCAATCAGCCGCCGACTACGCGTCAATTAATGCGTTCAAGTCAAATATCAGCCAACGGAGGGTCGGAATCAGCCTGTGTCTATTCTGGAAAATTCATAATCGTATCTTTCCAACAATAATATATAGGCTGTACGTGCCGTCAATACTTCACTTTTTTCGAGTGTTTTGTCGTTCAGTAAGCCAAGTTCGTAACGGTTCAAACAGTGTTTTGGTCTTACGTGCCTGGTATATTTTCAGAATCGAAATCCGCCTTCAAAATTGCTTTCTTGATGTTTGACGGAGATGACAACGGGAAAATTGACAAGGATGAATTTCTTTTGGTAGGTTTTTGCCCTCCATGCTTATTACCACTAGTAAAGCGTTATTTTATAGGAGCTGATACCCTTTTTGAAGTACTGAAACGATCTTTTCAAAGAAGAATATTCAAAAGGGCTGAAGGGCAATACTGGCATTTCTAATTTTTGAAAGAGATATTTCTGAGAAGGCTTCCTCATTTACTGTAAGGGCGTAAATGAGTAATTCTCAAATGGGGATGGTGTAGAACTCCTTTATTCCTCACACACCTGTTCTGAGCTGTTTTTCAACTAAGGCAGCCCTTCATTGTAATCTTCTGGTCTTGGATCGCTCTGGTGCAGATGCATGCCCACCTTTCGAATTGCAGCGACTTCTACGATTATAGTTTTTACTTATTATGTATTTATTTACGCACCTCGGTCTGTGAAACAAACAGCATGATGAGGCAAACTGAATGCGCTAACTGAGCATGTAGCTAAAAATATCCTGTACGTGACAGCAGAGCCCTCACGACAACTTGTCTTCGTCCTTGAAGTAATGGAAAGTAAACTTCTGCGCGTGATCACCCAGTTCGACAAACTCTAGATCGCGGTGCTCAGCTTCTCTTCCCAGTTCTCCTTCGAAGCTGAATAGGTTGTTCGAATCAATAATCTGGTATCCTTAAATGTCTTTGTGTGGACCGATTCTAGGAATTGCCACTCAATCAAAAACAAGGTCTCGCGAGAAGTGTTTAATGGTTTGGTATTGCAATAAGTGGTGTTCAATTTGTTGTCGTTCAGTTGTTTGCTGGTTTAGTTTTGTTGTGCTGCTTGTGTTTGTATAAAATACGGCTCGCCTCAGTTCCATACAGCTCTCCCGGAGCGCGATCTATCCGAAGAAAGGCTAAACGAGCTAACAAACACAGATTCACGTGGTTCCGCTTTTTTGGAGTAATCTCCCTAATTAGTTTCGCCATAGAGTGTATGCATGTAAGGGGGACGAGACGGACCCATATTTCACGTGGCTGCCGCGAGAGATCGCTTTTCAAAGTAAAAATTTTGGACAACCGCAACGAAGGTAGCCAGTCACTTCAGATTCGAGGTTTGATGACATCACTACGTTCCACTCGCGGTGCTCAAACGAACAAATCAGATGATGTAGGTTTTTGACGATTTGTTCTAGTTAAACTAGAAGATTCCGCCTCGTATGTTTCGAGAACATTCGAGCTCCCATCAAGTATTTCCTTTTGCAGTCGTGCCAATTGGATGTGTCCGATTTTCATTTTTCGGTGGCACGTCCTTTCCGACTTAGCTCAGGATCTGATTCGTATGCTTTACTATTTAGTGTAAGCTTTTAAGCCTTTTCTGATTGAAATTTTTTCTCTCTCTGCTTACCAGATAGATTTTAATACCATTGATCAAATTATCATAGATAATAATAGAATATCTTTCCAAGTAGAAACTTTCCAAATAACATCGACAAGAAGTTGTTAAGGTTCTGGGGCCTTTTCATACTGTTGTAGTCATCATATTTCGTAGCACGAACAGTGGTGTTTCTGATAAGTAGTTAACCTCTTAGGATGTAGTGGTGAAGTGACAAGTGGCGCACTATCTCCCGCACATGGTTATACGGGTTCGAATACTGGATCGCTACTCACCCAGGCCAATTGAGCCTTCTATCCCTCCGGGTCAGTTAATTGGTATCAGACTCGTTTGGGAATTGAAATCACTGAGTTTTGCATGGTCTGGCCACCACAAGTCATTGTATAGGCCATTGATGCAGTCATTGGGATTAGGACTATGTAATTGCAGTCAGTATGTGGGGACATATTTTTCTCGAACTTAAGCTTGGAAATATGCTCTGAGACAGTCAACAAGGTGTCTATAGTTTGCTACAACTTTCTTAACAACCAATATAACGTTTCATTTCAATTTACGTTTACCAGTGCCTCAAATTTGAACAGTGACGCTACGGGCAAGTTTCGTACAAGAGAGAAGAGCATGTTGTGTAAGAGTAGCTATGCACGAGTCTTGCAGTTCTTATTATTGTTTTGCAGCTGTTTTGATGTGGTTGTGCTGTTGTGTATCATACTAGCAAACAAATTCTTTTTTTTTTGCAACGAAAACGCTGACACTACATCGGCGCCTAATTAACGCATTTAGAACCGCTGGTGGTTAGGATACCTTGAGGATACGTGAGCCACCCCAGCAACAGCAAAGTCGAGTGCTAAATCAGTGCTTTTAATCTAACTCTTCATTAGACCTTACATTTCTTCTTTTTTCCAGTTTCCCCTTTGCTGCTGCAACCTTTCAGTGAAGGCTAGTCCATTCTATCCTTCCCGAATTGCAATTGCCGAGGCCAGGGGATGAAAGCCTGGTTGGCTCAAATTGAAGATATTTTCGAGCTATTCTCCTTTTTCCGTTTTTCTGCTTTACGGATCTTGTCAACAACATCCCTAAAAATGTACAGTAATTACTGCTTCTGGCTACCACAAACCATGGCTCAATTTATTATATGGAATTCTTAATCTAATATTAATGTTGCATGAACATTTTGCTTAACATAACAAACACTTTCCGCTCTAGGACCTAGTTTTCGAGGGAGTAGCTCAGGTGATATAAAAGTCATCAGTTACAACAAACTAAAATGGTTTGAAAGTTTTAACGTCCAAGAATTTCGTCCTAAAATGCTCCAACACCTTCGATTTTCATTAGAATCGATTGGCTCCGAGATTTGATCACCGAACTCTTCGCTGACAGTTCGTATACGAAGACTACCTCACTCGTGGAAATGTTAGAACTTGTGGGAAAAAATTTGTAAGCAAGCTAGAGAACCCTCAGTTTAAAAAAAAAACGCCAAGAGAGGCGATCACGAGAAGCCAAACTAGGGATGAAGGGAAATGGTCAAAAAAGACTTCGCCGAAGCTAAACTATAGGATGAAAACGGCAATTGGAGACAGCTTACAAAAGCGGCATTACCTTCGGCGGCAGTGGATCAGTATTATGTTGAGAAGAAGAATAGTGGTAACAGGACTGAATGCTCTATGGGAGGGAATGCACGTCCGTAATCCAGCTGATACTTATAACAAATCCGCGAATGCTGAGTCCATGTTCATCGCACAAAGTGAGCTAAAGAGCAAAAATTCTTTACGGTTTTCCGATCCTGTGAGGTTTTTTCGATCCTATGGTTTTTTGAAGGTAGGTTCAGTGAGAGAAAGCTTTTAATTTGGTGCCTTACACTTGATATATATTTACATTCATTTTCGAATGGTGCAGATTCGCTTCACATACTTTGTTACAATTTAAACTCAGTTCAGCTGGCGTTGAACGAAGAACTTCTGAGGATTTTCTCAACACTCCTATCATTTACAGATCTCTAAAATGTTTGCTGCGCGCTCTGCTCAACTGTACGGAACTTGTCTCGTTCCCGTTGGTTCACTTCTCTCATATATTAGATGACTTTTTTTCTTTTTTAAATGTTCAAACATTAAGATTTCGAAAAATGAAAACATTGTATTGATCTCTGCTTGGTCTCAAGTGAGATTGTGGACGTTTCAGAAAAGCGAAGAAGATGTGAAGAAGCAGGATACGACTCTGTTGTTACACCTTTTCGGTCAAGGAGGAAACGGAAAATTGTCATTTAACGAATTCAGAACGTACTTTTTCTATTTTTGGGTTTCAATTTTGAGTTCTGCATTGCATCTGATCTTTTTAAAGTTTCTACGAAAACTTGCAAGAAGAAATTATGGAAATTGAATTTCATGAATTTGCACGCGGAAAATCGACGATCTCCCCCATGGACTTCGCACGACTCGTTTTAAGGCGAGTATCGTTGTATATGCCCTTTCACGTTCCTTCTTAGTAATGGGTTTTGTGGGCTGCCCAATTCCTGGCTGTGATGTTGATGCTAAGCCAAGAATTTACGACATGTTCGAGTGTTCTTCTTCGATATTTTATCGTTACTTGCAGTTTGCTCTTTCAGATACACCATTGTTAATAAGGACGACTATCACACCTACATTAATCGAGTGAAGGAGCGTTCAAGTCCTGACGATAAGGTGCGCTTTTGAGTGAAAACATATTACTCACCTATTTAGCTGTTTTAGGGTGTCACTCTCGGTCAGTGGGCCAGCTTTTCATTGTTTTTGAACGATCTGGAAGAGTTTAGCACAGCAGTACGTCTGTACGCAAATGCGAATATGCCAGTTTCACAGCCGGAATTTGCACGGGCTGTTTTAACGACCATCGGTATACTTTTTTTACGCTATAAGTTCAAACGTCTTCTTAATTCGGAAGGAGAATCCTAAGAATTCTTGCACCCTTCGAAAATCTCGAACGACTCATTTCACTTGCTTTACATAACAAAGGGTTCGGCTCTGATTTCACACCAGGGCACGGGGTTGTGTACGTTCCACTTGTGCAAAGAATTATGTCGCAGTGCTGGGGCGCTTTCCTCCAGAACTTTAAAAGTTTGAAAATCTCCTGATGTTAAACTTTACTGTTTTTGGGATGCGTTTGGCTTCCATTCAGGATCGAAACTTGTTCTGAATGCGTTTGAGACCTATCCCTGTCGTGAGTGGGCAGCTGATCTGCGATCACAGTATTCATCTAGCTAGATGAGCTGTTCCCAATTTACCAACGCCGGGGGATGGAAGGGTCGGATGGCGTGGGCGAGCACCGAGCCGGGATTCGATATTCAAACCATGCTTGTGTGATAATGTGCCACTTACCTCTACACCCTTCTATTTGAGATTCTCAATTATAGGCGAGCCTTTGGACCCATACGTTGTCTCGCTCATATACAGGATCTTCGACGCAAATAATGATCAAACACTCAGTTATCCTGAGTTTTTGGCTGTGATGAATGATCGGTTGCACAGAGGACTCAAGGTAGGTGCTTGATTTTATGAGAATGTCTGCAAAATTATCATTTTTTTGAGAGAAGACATCAAAGATTACATATTTTAAAATAATAGAGTCCATATTTCTCTTGGTCAGCCCCATTTCACTAACGAGATAGTTCAGACGTAACTTGAATTCATTGATTGATTTCGTTCTTAGATAGTCGATCTTGTGGTTTGTTTGAACTAGAGAAGGATAGAGAGATAGAACATGCCCTGGTGCAGCATAGTCACCGCAACTTCTTGTAGAATGGTGAATGATAATCTCAAGTATGAGACAATGTGAAACTGAAAACCTCGATTTGAGCATCACCTGAGCAGCTCCGGCGTTTTCGTAAGCTGTACAATGTTACCTTGGGCGTGACTTGTGTTTCGATTGCCATGGAAGTAGGTGATGGGATGTATCCCCTCCACCACGTTCCAGTTCCGCATCGATGTCATAATCTTGACTCTCTGCTTGATCATAAAGATGGAGCATGCAATCTCGGAGCATGACTACCTTGAAACGGGATAGTAAATAAAATTGTTAAGAGCAGCATTGGCTCACTAATGTTGAGCGTTCTTGGTAGATGTTACTATTATTCATTGCTGCTTCGAATGTCATCATCCCGGGCCTCTTACACATTTATCTATTCCCATATTTCAGGGTCGACTGGATAAACCATGGGGATGGAGACCGTTCAAGAATTGCGTGGTGAATGAGCTATCCCGCTATTAAAATTGCTCAAGAATTACGGGGTAAGAGAATTCTCAAGAGTAGTTATCTAATGTTACGTTAAATCGATTTGTTTTTTTCTAGTTCATTTTTATCTAGTTTTCTGTGGGTCCCTTTAGGTTTCAAACATTCCCTCCTCGCCAAACATCCTCCAGCAAAAAGTGTCTATTTGCTGCCGTTTCACGGAAGTATTTTGAAAACAAAGTGGGGTGGGACTTCTTTATAAACCACTCTATCTTGGCTTGCAAGATGACCATAATCAGGGGCATGGACCGCATGGAAGCAAACAGTGGTGGTGCCAGGCGGCATTACCGTTGTGGGGTTGCAACGACGAGATCATCATACTTGACCCTGATTGTAAAAATATAAGTAAAGCTTGATATGAATTTGAGTCGAACTCTCACAGGTTTCTTTTAAACTTTATTCACTAAAGTTTCGGCGCTATCATCAGTGCCTGAGAAGATCGAAACAACTTGTGCTTATCCGATCAAAATCCTCTGTCATGCAATTAAAATTTGAGACGAACATAATCTAAAAACTAGCCACACATCAAAACTTCGTGGATCCTCGCAATCACCCAGCAACCGATAGTGGGAATAGAGTCAGCTGGGCTAGGTCTTCTTCAAAATCATTGTGGGAAGGCCAACTTATAAGTTAAGCGAAGTGTAGTCGGCGAAGTCGTGCACAAAAATGAATATGAACTGACTTATTTCACTCGATCGGAACGCTGCAGTTCTTACATTGAGCAGCTACTTGATAGCTAATGTTTACGTCCTTGAATGTTTCAAGGGCAATTGATATACAAGTTGATTTTACAGTGCCACTGGTGTCCGGTGATCGTAACAATCGGTGTTTGTGTGGCGGACGTCGATAGTCAGTAACGTGCTTCCTAGAACCGAGTAGTTCGCTCAGTGTGAAAGACGGACGAAGTAAGGGATGGTACAGAAGAAGATCCCTTCTTCACTGCTTAATGGTGCAATTCTTGCCAAATGTGATAAATGCTATTTTAAATGATTTTATTGTCAAATATAATACTTCAAGATATCACTTTCCGAGCTGTACCTCGTCGTGTTCATAAGTTATTGGTTAGGCTGAAGCGCTAGTACGTACATGAAAGAATGTTCATGGTCAGGGCTAGGAACACCCTGGTTGCTCAGGGCTCCGATTACCGCTTCAATCTCGACGCTATCAAAGCCTTTCTACAAATCGACGAAGTAAGACATAATGGTGACTTGTACTCTCGCGATAATTCAGTGAATCGTGTCACGGTGTGGATATTGACCGATTATACTGAACCCTCTCAGGAGCCATGCTTGCTCCTATGGCGGTCCTTCATTTAACGCATTCACGCATATGGCAGCCCACATGGGCTGCCAACAGCAATGCTCTTAGGACGGTAGCAGCCCATACGGGCTGCCAGATAAAATTGCCTGTCACTTCCTTATATCGTAATCTTATTGAATATTCTCAAAATCAATGAACTAGTCAAGGCTTAGTCTATATCCGATTCCCGTTGGCAAGGAAAACGTTATGAGGTAACGACTTTATCCAAACAATTAACAACCGCAGTTTCTCTCGTTGAAACATCGCAAACAGACAAATTTTCGCAAACAGAACACTTAGTATGAACTTTAGTAACACCTTTCCTAGCTTCTCCTAATAGGTAAGAAATGACCAACTATGCACGTTCACAGAAGGATTGCATCTTCTAGGATCAAAGAATTTGAAGGTATTCTTATTCTGAACGTTTGACAAGTAATTTGTTGACTTATGAGGTGAATTCTCAGTCTAGAAGGGGCTTTTTTGCCATAGTAAAGAGATTTAGTCTATTCATGGTGAGGCAGTGGACTACTGCAAATTTATTTGGTCAATCAACAGAAAGGTACTGAAACGAT